TGGACGTGGGGCCAGATGACCTGGACCCGGCGTTGCCAGTGATTCCTTATTGGCAATGGCCTCCAGCTGCCTGGGGCAGTGGTGGGAGCAGGTGCTGGCAGCGGGGGACACAGGGCCTGTTTGACCCAGCCCAGGCCCGTCCCCACGGCTCCAACCCCGCAGGGGCCCCACCGGAGCCTCTCAGGAGCCACTCCTTCCTTCCCTGGTTAACCCGAGGGAATTCCGGTCAGGAAAGTAGAGTTCCGGTAGAATAAGATGGTCCAGCCTGGATGACTAACCCAACAGTAATGAACTTCCTTTTCAAAGATTTCTAAAAGCAAACTCATCCCATTTTCTCCAAAGGGAAAAGTACATACATTTATTTCCCCGATCAAAATGAGAACTAATCTTGGAAGCTGAGGAAACACTGCGGGTGTCTAAGAGGTGGCCTCACAGGTCGGGGCGCGACCAGGAGCTTCTCGGTCAGGGCCTGTCTGGGGCGGAGACGAAGATGGGATCCAGAGAGGAAGGGAGGCCATAGGAAAAGCGGGAGCAGCGCCATTTCTCCCACGTCCACACTTTCTCCTGAAACCCCACCTCTCATCAGCTCGACATTCAGAAAGACAAGGAGCAAAAATGTCACACACAAACCTGGAACGCATGCTCCCGCCTCCCGGCTGTGCAGACACGGACCTCAGGGGAGGCACCAGGTCTGAGGTGAGGCCCCCACCTGCCTTCCTGCCCTCTCGTCCCCCATCTAACCTACCGCTGGGCCCATTGGGAAGCCAAGGGAAGCCAAGCCCTGTCCCGCTGCCCTCACACCTGACACACGCTCTGCCTGCACTTTTCATTCACCAGCGGAAGTGTGGTTCACATAAATGCGCCCCACTTTCCAGTGACCTGCAATGGCTCAGGTCACTCCTCTCCCCTCTCCGCGGCTCCACAGTCAACGTCACACTCACTACCTCCGTGGGCTCCTGCCTCCTCTGGTCAATAGACCTCAGCCTCAGGTAGCTGACTTAGGGCCTGGTGTCTCCTCGGTAAATGGGGTCAATGCGGGCCCTTCCTTCAGGATGCACTGTGAAGCTCCAGTGCGTTATTAACGCCGAGTGCGGAAGCCAGGGGCCTGCCCGCTCAGTGCCGGGACCCCTCCACCCGCGTGCCCTGCAGGCTTCTCTCCTCTGAACACACCACTCCCTCCCCGCTCCCGTCAGCAGGCCTCTGTGAGCACAGCCCGCATGCCACAGGCCGGCTCTTCCCTGTCCTCTGCCTTCCTCGAGGTCTGTGTGAGCAAGTTTATAGTGACGTCAGCCAGCCTGGTTCCCCGTGCGTGTGAGCTCCTGGAGGCACAGGCCATTCTGACTCACGTTTGGTCACCAGCGCCTCCTAGAATGTCGAGTACACGGTGCCTAATCGTATTTACAGATAAACATCTATCAGCACAGACGCTGGGCCAGCCGCTGGCTCTGCTGACGGGCCAGCCTGCTCCAAGGCCCTCACTTGCCTCCCACCAGCCTCACAGCCAGAGCCCAGCTCGTGCCCAGCACCTGCTCCGTCTCTGGTGGGTTTCCACTCCACTGAGAAGGGCCAGCCCGCGTACCATGGCCTCCAGGTCCTGCAGGGCCTTTGCAGGCTGTGCCGTCTCCCTGTGCTCAGGTCTCCAGCTGCCCCGCCCCTCCTGCTCTGCCCCAATTGGATCAAGGCACTTTCACTGGCTCCTGCCGATATTTGGAATATTATTTCCTACCGGAGGCCCGTTGCACGAAGAGATTCGTGCAATAGGCCTTCCTTCCCTTGGCTTCCAGCGGTTTTCCTCTGGCACCTGGGACCCAGGCCTTCGCTCAGGCCAGAGTCTGCCAACTTTGCCTGCAGTCTTGTCTTCACTGAGGCACTCTGCTCCTGTAGATCCCTTCACCCCCCCCACCCTCCTCTCATGGCAGGTGTTCTGCCCCACCTGGCCACTCCACACCTGGAGTAGCTGAGCGGCCGCCATTGTTGGTCTTCTAATTTGCATACTCACTCTGATTGGCTGTGGGTGTAGTGGAGGTACAGCCAATTTGCATGTTTGTCTATTATTCCGTAAGATGCTCCTTCCACTGCTCCTTATTGCACATCCATCCAATCACAGGTCTGACACCACCTCTTCCTCTCTGTCCGCCTCTCCTGCCAACTCAGCTCCAGGAGCCCTTGTCACCCAGTTGCCTTGTCCCATCAATTGTGGATTTTTTTGAGGGCCTGGGCAGATCTGGAATTACTTATCTGTTTCTGGGTGACTTCTGGGGTGACCCCACCAGGGTGGGCTCTGTCTGCTTGCTCTCCATACTCCCAGCACCTGCCACAGCGTAGGTGCTCCCAAGACATGTCTGAAAGGAATAAATAATAATTAGATAATGCTCTGTGTGTCAGAGAGAGGGTGGGGATATTGTGTATCATGCTGGACTAGTCCCTGCCTCCTCAGCAGCTAGGTCCCAGAATGAAAGCTAAGCCAGCATGTGGAAAGCTCCCTGGATGCTCTGGAAAGTATGAGGCTAGGGTGCTCTGGCAGGGGCGCCTTCGGTTGGAGCATTATCCCATTCACCAAAGGCTGTGGGTTCGATTCTTGGTCAGGGCACATACCTAGGTTGCGGGTTTGAGTGCATATGGAAGGCAGCTGATTGACGTTTCTCATAGCGATGTCTCTCTCCCTTCCTCTCTCTAAAAATAAATAAATAAACCAAAGCATATCCTAGGGGAGGATTAAAAAATGCCTAATTAAAGAAGCAATTAGAGAGACAAAGGTGACACGCGTGGACGAGTGAGCAGAGGGCTTGCTTCTGTGAACCGGCAGTGAATGTGGCAGCCACTGGGCTCTCAGGGAGGAAGAGCTAGTCCTCGGCGAGGGGAGCGCACACAACTAACACTGTGTGTTGTCATCCACCATGTTCACCCGCAGCCACTCCCTGCCGGAAGCACCTCTGTCAGAAGCTGTGACTTTGGCAAGTCATGCCCCTGCCCATTCCTTTCTGCTGAAATAGGATGTTCATCTGGATCGTTTAGACCCCATTCAGCCTGTCTGTTGGAGCTATTCCTAGCTGACGTAGGACGAACCAGGATCTCCTTTGATTTCAGTGCAAGATGTCAGTTCTTGCTGGGTCTTCATCCATGTGCCTCAAATCCAATGCCTTCAATGGTCACTCTCTTGGGTGACCTTCTCTCCTTTTAATTTTTTTATCCTCACCTGAGCATGTTTATTGATTCTAGAGAGAGGGGGAGGGAAAGAGAAACAAAACAAACATCGATGTAGGAGAGAAACACTGGTTGTCTCCCATATGCACTCGACTCGGAATTGAACCCCAAACCTATGCACTCTGACCGGGAATCACACCTGTGGCCATTCAGTATATATGACGGCATTCCAGTCAATGGAGCCACCAGCCAGGGCCCTTCTCTCCCTGTAATGTCTCTCCTCTTGGATATCATTTCTGAGCGGCTGCCCTGAGCTTGGTGCTCTCTGCCATTTGGCAAGGCACCGTCACCCTTTCGGCAAGGCCCCCAGAGAAGCCATGTGTCCTATGTGGTTCCTCAGAGACAGGTTGGCCCGTAACTAACCTAATAAATGTTTTCACCTTCACGGGAGGCTTTTCCGACATTGTGAATGCATCTCCTGGCGATTATGGCCCCTCCACCTGCCTACATTTCTCAGCCGATTTCTCGCTGTGCTAGCACGTTGCCTTCACATTTCAAGGGCGCCTTCTGCATCCTCTTCCCCTAATCACTAGGTGTCTCCACTTTGTTTTGTTAATCCTCCCCTGAGGAAATTTTCCCACTGGTTTTAGGGAGAGGAGAGGAGAGAGGAAAGACAGAGAGAAACATCGATGTGAGAGAAACACGTGGATTGGTTGCCTCTTGCACAAGCCCCGACTAGGACCCTTGACCGGAATCTAACCCGGGACCTTCTGGCCTGCAGGCCGATGCTCTGTCCCCTGTGCCAAACCGGCCAGGGCCGTCTCTATTTCTTACTGGCAAAGCACAGCTCATGTGTCCTGTGCCCAGGAGCCTGTCTGCTTCAGAAAGCTGCCGGGGCCACACAGGAACGAACGTGTGTTCTCCTCACAGCTCTCGGCGTGGGGCAGACCCGGCAGCGGGCTGCGACTGTGGACCAGCAGTCCATCCTGCTGTAGACAACCCAGGCTGCCAGGCACTCAGAAGAACCTGGGTCAAGTCGCCTGTGCTCACTCTGAAGACTGTGCTGTGCGAGGAAACACACACTTTTCTCTCTTTCTTTTTCTCTCCCAATATTTTGAAATTCGGTTTGGAGACAGAATGCATAGACATTAGGATTTAAACTATTTATATTTTATTTGTTAATTCACACCCCCCCTCCCCCCCACCCCCTGCCCCGCCCCTGGCTGCTGGAGGCAGACAGATTGTCACTGCTGGGCTGAATTCTGTTCTGAGCGAGAGTTCTAGAAGAGTATCCACAGCCAGGTGGAGCAGCTGGGGTGGCCTGTCCTCCAGGCCCACCTGCAGCTGCCCTCCCAGCCCTGGGTGGCCAGGGCCACCCTCCAGCCACCTCTGCAGATCCCAGCCTGGAAACAGGAGGGTGAGAACTGGGACCATGCGATCTGTTACTTCTAATCCAAAATAATGGAAGGTGAGTCAGCCCCAGCTAAACCCCAGTCCTGCTGGGACTCTCCTTGTGGGGGGCAACTGCCCTTGGCATTGTTGGAACAGAAAACGAGGGAACCCCATGGTCTGCAGCAACACGAGGTGCCCTTTTCCCTTTTCTAGAAATTCAGAGCCTCTGGCGTGGGTAGAGGTATGGAGGAACTGTTTTCTGTGTATCTGCTGTGCAGGAGGCTTTCCTGCGGGTTCGCCCTGCACAGTGGAAGCTGTGTCCTGCCTCCTAATCTAATCTCCGTGGAAGCTGCAGAGGCCCAAGGGGGATGTCACAGCAACGCTGATTGGCTGCAGCAGCTTTGTTACAGTGCTGATGATTGGCTGCCTGGCGGTGGCTGGGCTTTAAATGAGACCTGCAGGCTGCGGATCCTGAAAGCATCTTCAGGACCAACAAGGTGACAGTCAGCTCTCAGGCATCCAGCCCCTCCTGCCCTTTCGTCTCCTTCCTGCCTGCGAACCCCAGCCCAGCAGCAAAGATGTGCAAAGGGCTGGCAGGGCTGCCCGCTTCCTGCTTGAGGAGGTAAGACGACCACCAGCCGACCCTGTCACACGTGCTGTTACCAGCCTGCTGTGGACCATGCTCTGGGATTAGGATCCCTGTGGTCAGTGGGGCATCGCGCCCCGCTTTCCTTCAAGACCAGCTAGAAACGGTGACTGAAGAAGTGTGTGTGCCCTGGTTTGGGCACCTCGGTGTTGCTGAGCTCGGCCTTGGTTCTGAGGACTGAACCTCCGGCCAGGTCAGCTGGTGGTCAGCAGGGAGGTGGGGTCCGCTTATCTCAGCTGTGAGGGTGCTGACGAGCACCCAGGGGCTCGCAGACTCAGGGCTGGGGCTCGCAGAGGGCAGACACTCTAGGTCTCCTCTGGGGGAAGACGCCCAGGGTGCGGGCGGCCCCTCCTGGGATGCACTGTGCAGTGTGGGCTGAGGCTCCGCACCGCCGTGCCCCATAAGCTAATGACGGTGACCTGCCCACTCCAGACGCCCCGGAGTGCGGTGGTCACACGCCTTGGTCATCGCAGGGCGCAGGGCTCGGTGGAAGGTCTCACCCCACACACACGGTCTTATCAGGTAGTGTGTCTTTAAGATGTAAGGAAATGTTTCCAGAGGATGCTTCTAGACTAGCCAGCTGAAGGACAGTGAACCCGTGTTACAGGAGCTCTCACCATGAGCTCTCTTCGTCTGCAGAAAAAGCATCCTCTTCTCCTCTCCTGCAAATGCCAACACCTAAAGTTCAAGTTGGAAATCTCCCAGAAGCACCGTGTCTGTGCATCCCAGGCGCGGCCTTTCTGAGGCTCGGCCACGCAGGGGAAGGAGTGCCTGTGCCTGCTCCTGCTCCTGGGGTTTGACAAGAAGCAGGAGGCTCTGGCAGAGAGTGATAGTGACACCCCCCCCCCCCCACCCATGTCTGACCCCAGGGGAGCAAGACTCCAAGCTTCACAGAAAATTGTACAAAGCGAGGGTGGGAGGCGGTATGCTCGCCAAGGAAAGACTGCTGAGCTCTGCCCCCCAGAGCAGCGGGAGGGGGGGTGGTGGTGGTGGTAAACCCCCATCAGAGGGTGAGCTGCTGGTCTGTCCTCTCCGGGAGCCACAGACCAGCTAGTCCAGCCCTTCATCCCAGCTCTGCCTGGGCTCAAGGTCACACTGATGTGTGTGTGTGTGTGGGCAGAGCAAATGCAGGTGTCCTGGCTCCAGCGAGCCACGGAGTCCTCATGGCTTTTATCATGGTGGTGGCATGTGTTGTAGGTCAGGCGCGGCCACTCCTGCATGAGGGGGCTGTGTGGTGATCGGTGCCTGGCAGAGCTCAGCAGGCCGTTCTGGCGAATGCCGTCCACTTGTCCAGAGGGTCCCCTTAGCCTCAGTCCCACAGCCTCCTCGACAACCTCTTCTGTCATTGCGGAGGAGCCTGCGCCGCGACCGGGGGAGGCAGAGAGGGAGCAGTCCTGCAGGGAGAGCGGACACTGCTTAGGGCAGCCCGGACCACCGGGGAAACGCACCTGGACACCCACTGATGGCACGGCCGTGACATGCTGCTCCTCATCCCACGGCTGTGCTTTCCGCCCTCTGATAGGAACGTCCAGCCACGCACTTCTTTCCAAATGACACTTCTCTTATAGAGCGATTGCTGGGCTTTTATAAAAAGGAGACCAAGCGAAGGACTAATCATATAACAAAAGCCTGAGTCACCATTACAGCGGAATGACCAGAGCGACCAGTTGCTCTGATGTGCACTGACCATCAGGGGACAGATGCTCAACGCAGGACTGCCCCCTGGTGGTCAGTGCACTCCCACAGGGGGAGCGCCGCTCAGTCAGAAGCCGGGCTCAGGGCTGGCGAGCACAGCAGCGGTGGCGGGAGCTCTCCCACCTCCGTGGCAGCGCTGAGGAGAGAGAGCCGAGCAGTAGGGGCAGTGAGCAGGCGGGGGGTAAGGAGAGGGGTCCAGGATTGTGAGAGTGATGCCTGTCTGTTGGCATAGGCAGGCCTAAGGTGGCAGGTGGCCATCCCCCAAGGGGTTCCGGACTATGAGAGGGCACAGGCCAGTCTGAGGGACCCCCTCCTCCCCAGTGCATGAGTTTCGTGCACCGAGCCTCTAGTTAAAGAGTAAGAAGGTTGAGCTGGAAGGTCTGTCTCTGAGTCCCGTTCCTGTTGCTTCTCCGGGTTCTTTTGAAGCCCCCAGTGCCCTTAGGGAGTGAAGTGCCTGCCGTGCAGAGAGTGCACAGGGGAGCAGTGCAGCTGAGGCTCCCTGTCCAGCCCTCTGCCAGCTGCACACCTGGCACAGGCGCAGGCGCAGGCGCAGGGTGCGGCCCACCTCCCTGGGCTGGAATCACAGGCCACCTTCCACAGGTGCCTGTGAGTCCTGGGGCCAGCAGCCAGCGGTGGCAACAGCAACTGCTGTCCAGGAGGTGGCGCCACAGGAAGGGGCCCTAACAGCCCCTGCAGCTCCCCAGTTCCTGCACCTCCAAGATGAGCCCCTTTTCAATGGGCCTCTGTGGAAGCCACACCTTGTGCTGCTGGTGGAAAGGCTGCCAGTGGCGGAGGGGCGGCCTCCCAGAACCCGGAAAGGAAGGGCTGCTACCTGGGCTCTCACTGGGCCCCAGGCAGGCGTAGGGCTCCTTGTCCTGGGAATTCACACACCTCCAGCTCCGCTTCCTAAGTGCAGCCAGGCGCCTTCTAAAGGAGCCCAGGCCCGCTAACACGCCCCGCTTCTGTGCAGCGCCAAAGGCATGAAGCACCGGCTGGGGGCGCTGCTGCAGAAGTCGGACTCCTGTGAGCACGGCTCCTCTCACAGCAGGAAGGACAACCTGGTGGTCTGTCCCAGGTAAGAGGGCGGGGAGGGCCTCTGCGGGGCAGGAGGGCTGTGGTGGATGGAGGGAGGGGGAGTTGCCTGCGGACAGGGCGTGGTAGGGCTGGGGAAGCCACGGCCCCAGTTAAGTAAGAATGTGTGTGTGTGTGTGTGTGTGTGTGTGTGTGTGTAGCAGGGGTGGGTGGGGGGTGGGGGGGTGGGGGTGTGTGTGTGCTCTAACCAACACCAGGCCGGCTTGGGCGAGAGGGAAATACCTGCGCTGTGTTTAGGCCTTCGTTTTCTCCGGGTTTGAATGGTGGCATTGAAACTCTTCTTCTCCAGGGTGAGCCAAGAGGAAGTCAAAAAGTGGGCTGAGTCGCTGGAAAACCTGATCAGCCATGAATGTGAGTCTGACCCCTCTGGGTTGGGGTCACGGCGCCCTGCATACACGCATCTCACACAACACAGGACAGCCTCAGGGGAGTCGGCCTGTTAGGCGTGTGACCCCGAGCTCGGTCACCTGCAGTGGGTGGTTCATGCAGAAACCGTGGGGAAAGCGTAGAGGAAAAAACTCCAAATACTAAGATTTCTTGCAGAATCCACTTCAGTTTCTCTTTCCCAAACCCCCGAAGTAGGGTGTGTAGCTAGGACTCAAGCAGATTAGGGTTACCTGGCCCCGAGTGACCCCACAAAGGCGGGGTAGGTGGTGGCTCAGACCCTGCCCTGTTCCCTCCGCGCCTGCCTGGGCTTCGTCACCCGCGGTGACAGCTCGCTCTCTCGGTCGCAGGCGGGCTGGCGGCGTTCCGGGCGTTCCTGCAGTCGGAGCACAGCGAGGAGAACCTGGAGTTCTGGCTGCGCTGCCAGGAGTACAAGCTCACCCCCGCGCCCTCGCAGCTGCGCCCCAAGGCCCTGGAGGTCTACGCGGAGTTCATCTCGGCCCAGGCGGCCCAGGAGGTGGGTGCGCGCAGCCGTCTGGTGGCGACAGTTCCCTGGGGTGGCATTGGGCGTTGGCCCTGCAGGCCAGAGTCCAAAAGGAGGAGCCGTGGACCCACTTGCTATCAGCTTGGCATCCCGCATGGGCCGGCTGGGCAAGGCCTCGTCCCAAGGCTGGGCGTGGCCAGACGGACCTCCCAGCACGCGGGAGAGAGCGGGCCGCTCCGCTCACGTGTGCGGGGCCCAGGTCTGCCCCGGCCTCCAGGCGCCGTGCTCACTGCCCGCCCCCCCTCAGGTCAACCTGGACTCGGGCACCAGGGAGCAGACCCGCCGGAACCTGCTGGCGCCCACCGCCAGCTGCTTTGACGACGCCCAGAGGAAGATCTTCCATCTGATGGAGAAGGACTCCTACCGCCGCTTCCTCAAGTCCCGCTTCTACCTGGAGCTGGCCGACCCTTCTGGCCGCGGGTCTGAGAAGCAGAAAGGGGCCAAGCGCCCGGCGGACTGCCCCCCGCTGGCCCCCCACTGCTCCTAACCCTCGCCCGGGGGCTGCTGGCTGGACTGCTTGGGGACTGCCCCGGGCCGGGGCCCACACTGCCCCGTGCGCACTACATGTAGTCTGTCCCGCTCATCAGAAAGCCTCCCTCACTGTCCGTGTTCCCCCAGGGCCGTTCTCCGCTCACCAGTTTGGCCCCAGGGTGGCGGGCAGGTGGGTCCACATCCTGTGACGTCCACGGGCTCCTGGGACTCTGAGACGGGACCTCCTCCATAGCTAGGCGTTTAGATGAGGTTCATCTATTGTGTGTATACGTGTGTGCATGTATGTACACGCATGTGCACATATGTGTGAACGCACAAATACACATGTCCCTGTAGGATGGACGGAGGGGCCAGGCGCTCACCACTAGTGTGAGGTGCTACACGCCTCAGCTCTAAGCCGCCTGGGACGGCCACATGCTGGAAGGGAAGAAGCCCGGCAGCTCCGGAGCCGCACCTGCTCACGGCGCTGCGCGGGCGGCAGTCCCAGGCGCCGGAGCGGGCGAGGACAGGACGGAGGGTTGTCGTGACCGGAACTGCTGCTGACCCTCTCCGAGGCAGGGGCGACGTGAAGGCGTTGTTTATGAGGATGTTTTGTACGAGCGTTCGCTGCTCGGCGTCATTCACGGCCCCCCCCTCTCCCCAGAGGGTCCTGAGCAGGAAGCCCGTCTTCATCCTCCCGGTGCCCCTCCCTCGGGCACCTGGTGCCCCTCCCACCGTCACACTCCTGAGCACGTGGCTGTGAAGCCAGGGGCTCCAGTGGAGCGCCGGGTGGTGCCCACGACTCCGGTGTATTAAAGCCGTGTCTCTGAGGACCTCCTGTCTTTGCAGTTTCTCTTGTGTCCTGGGTCCCCATCACGTCCCCACGTTGCTCACACATGAGGGCTCTCCAGGCCCCAGGGTATGACTTGGACTGGGCGGCGGTCGGTGGTGCCTGATTCGCAGAAAGCTCCTCCCAGCAGGTGTGCGGCCTCGAGCGAGAAGGCGACATCGAAGTGACATTTCCCAGCGTGCTTTGCACCCGGTGTGGTTTTACTCCGCCAGCATTTCACGGAGAGCTCCAGTGCCCCCGCTGTGCCTGCCCAGGTGTGTCCTGGGTGCGTGCTGCCCAGGAAACAGGCATCTCTGTTTTTTTTTTTTTTTTTTTTTTTTTTTTTTTTTTTTTAATGTTTTTACTGACTTCAGAGAGGAAGGAAGAGAGGGGGGAACACCAGTGATGAGAGAGAATGACCCATAGGCTGCCTCTGCACATCCTCTACCGAGGATCAAGCTGGCAACCCAGGCCTGTCCCCTGACCAGGAATTGAATCTCTTGGTTCCTAGGTCCCCACTGAGCCATATTGGCTGGTGACACACGAATCTTAGTAACCAGGGTAAGCACGCTCTGCATGCGAGTGACCGGCGTGTGGACATCGGTGCCCGCAGGGCCAGGAGGAGCGGAGGGCTGGGGCTCAGGAGAGGCCGCGCTCCCCTCTGCAGGCGGGAGGAGGGAGAGGGGCTGCAGAGCCCCAGGGGCGGATCCCTGATGCATGGAATGTTCGCCTTCAGGGTCCCAGGTTCCACATTTGTCGCCACAAGCCCCCCTTCCTGACTTCTTGCTTCTTACCATGAGACTCACACGCGGGTCAAGCACACAGGGTCTGAAAGGGTCTCTTCTACGGATCTGATGAGAGAGCTCAGCCTTCTCTGGAGAAAAAGACACAAATAAACCCAGATCTCATAGTGTTTCGGGGAAATGTTCATAGTCCCAGCTCAAAACGCAGGTGCATGCTGTCCCTGCCCCAGGACAGGGCCTGGGTGCTGGGCTCACTGGCTGCTGGGGGCAGACACCCTCCTGGCCTTACAGGCCACTCGGAGTCCTCTGCCGCAGGCCCAGCCTCCTTCCTCATGGAGTTTGGCCACAACGTAAGTAACAAACACGGGCTGACACTCCTGAAGGCGACCAGAGACCACATTCAAAACATTATCTCTGCTGTTGACAGTACTCAGCTGCCCCCTTTCCTCCCAGTGACCCCCTTCAGCCACCCCAGCCCTCACCCCCTATTCCTGTGTTCATGGGCTGTGCATATGTGCATACAAGGTCTTCTGTTCATCTCTCCCCTCTGCCCTCTCTCCTCCCCTCTGAGATGTCATAGTCTGTTTGATGCTTCTATGTCTCTGGATCTACTTTGTTCATTAGATTCCACATATGGGTGAGACCAGGTGGTACTTGTCTTTCTCTGACTGGCTTATTCCGCTTAGCACAATGCCCTCCAGGTCCCTGCATTCTGTCCCAAAGGACAAGAGATCCTTCTTCTTAGAGCCGCATAATAGTCCCTGGTGTAGGCGTCCCACAGCTTCTATCCCCTCCCCCAGAAAGACATGCTACCGTTGTGTGCCAGGCAGTGTCTCAGGCACAAACAACCCTTTAGTGGTTATAATTGTCATAAACAACACATTTATTCCCACCTAGCCCTAAGCTGCAGAAGCCAGTCCCGGGCATGCTTCTGCAAAGCCTCTGCTGAGGAGGAAGTGGAGGCCCAGAGGAGGGAGGGCCTGGCCACAGATGCAGGTTGGGATCTGAGCGAAGTGGGTGCGGGCACCTAAACCCACAGGTGGGGATGAGGGCAGGCCTCTGAAGACCGTGCTGTCAGGATGGAGCCCAGGGCCCTGGCCAGCTGGCCTTCCTCCTCTGGGGCCGCTGTGGAGACCAGCTCCAGGTTGTGTAGCCACAGAGGACCTCTGGGCCCTCCAGAGAACCGAGTGAACGAGGGATGAAGGATGGCGAGCTAAGGCAGGTGACAGGTCCGTGTTTGTGGGGCTGCTTGTCGGCCTCGGGGTCACACCCACTCTGAGAACTGCACTCGCCATTCCTGCGCCAGGTTCTGCCGCCTGGGAGGGGCGATGGAGCGTGGGCTCAGGACTCACTATGGTAACAGCAGTTTACAAACAAAAACTGGACTTTGGGGGACACCCCTCCCCACAGCACCCCAGGCTGCTCTGGCCACTGCAGGTTAACAGAGCTTCGGTTTTTAAAGTTGGAAATGAGACGATAGAGGAGAAAAGAGAAAAAAAAGAAAAGAAAAAAAAAAAGACCTTCTACAAAATAGTCACGAAGTTGTGAAGTCCAGTGCAGGGAAAGCGTCACTAATCTCTCTATATAAAAACCTAAGTGACCTTCGCAACGAACGGATGACCGAACAGGCTGCATGGGGGGACCAGGCCGGCAGGGGGACTGGTGAGGGGTGACCAAATGACTGAGCAGCAGTCTCTGTGGGGCAACCAGGCCCACAGGGGAGGCAGTTGGGAGTGACCAGGCCAGTGGGGTGAGGCAGTGAGGCACAACCAGGCTGGCAGATGGGGGCAATGAGCGGTGATCAGGCCAGGGGGAGAGGGCAGTTGGGGTAACTCAGCTAGCAGAGGGGGCAGTTAGGGGCAACCAGGCTGGCAGGGGGGAGCAGTTGGGTGGGACTAGGCCAGCGGGGGCGGGGGGGAGCAGTTAGGAGTGATCAGGCAGACAGGTAGGTAAGCAGTTAGGAGTCAGTGGTCCTGGATTGTGAGAGGGATGTTTGACTGCTGGTTTAGGCCCGGATTGGAGAGGGTGCAGGCTGGGCTGAGGGCCCTCCCCTGCACAAATTTCGTGCACTGGGCCTCTAGTATTGTAATAAGTATGGATGGTGCCAGGTGGGCACTTGAAATATCCCCAGGGTGACCACTCTGTAAAGAATATGACTGTCTAACTACAGGGCTGTGCACCTGAAACTAATATGAAATAATAGCGATGTGAACTACCTCCACGGGAAAACCCACATCTGTCAGCCACAGTCAAACTTAGGGGCCAAAATGTCATCAGAGCAACTCCCGTCAGATGAACACTCGCATGCCCAGCCGAACTCACACAGTCTGAAGCAACACAACTCCATTTGCTTGATTCAGAGGTGATTCACAGCGGGTGTGTGCTGAGGCCATTAGCTTAGTGAGGACCAACAACATTGCTGCTTATCATCATCGCCTGTTGTGTCAATGCCCATCGCTTTTTTTCCCCAGCATCCAGCCGTCATTCAACATCCAGCCGTCACTCAACAATATGGTGTGAAAGGAGGGCACCAGCTGCTCTTCATGGGGCCGAGAACAGAGGACACAGCGAGGGGCGGGGGAGGGGCTCAGTGGACATAGAGGCTAACTCTGTAGACGGGCCGTGCAAAGGGCAGCGCAGGAGCTGGGTGGTGACGGCTGCATCCCAGGCTCCTCGATGGAGGTGAAAAGCGTGAGGAGGAACTGGGTTTCCAAGGACACCAGAACTTAATGGCCGCATCTGACGTTCACGCGCATTGATTGCCAAGCCTACGCTGAGCGCTCTTCGTTATTTATTTAACTCTGAGAACGAAGTCTGAGACAAATGCCTCAGTATCTGTCATGGTGGGCGGGAAGGAATAGGAAAGCTCAGAAATGTACCCAAGGTCACAAGGGAAAGGCGCGCAGAGCAGTCAGACCGGAGGCGGCTCCACACACGGCGGGCTTCCCGAGGAGCAGGAGGAGGAGGACCAGGAGGGGATGGGCGGCCAGGGGGAGGGAAGGGAGAAACCACGGGGGGTGAAGAGGTAGCAGGAGCAGAGGAAAGGAGGGCGAGGGAAGGGTGAAGGCAGGAACGTGGACACAGAGGAAGGGGCAGAAAGATGCAGCTGTGAGGAAGGTCGGACTCGTGACAGGGAGCTGGGTGCGAGGGCACAGGCTGGGCCAGGCTCCTTTTCAGAATCATTTCTGTCTCCTTTCTTTCTGGGTCTAATTTGCCGGATCCCAACAGTTCTCCAGAGCAAGCCCTTTGTAAATTGTTTTCAATGGGAGGGACAGCGACAGAAATAGCTCCGCTCCTCCTCGGTCCCAGGCCCCCTGTGTGGGGACAGGCAGCGGCCGCTGCAGTCGCACGGGGACAGGACCCCGGCTGGGGACACAGGGTCCCGGGCACGCTGCTCCGCCCTCCTCCGGGAGGGCCCGGGCGGTGACCGCGGGGCCGGGGTGAAAGGGCACTGTCCCTCAGGAGTCTGGTCAGCGCAGCAGCCTGTGCAGAGGAGCAGAGAGCTGGGCCGTGGGAAGGGGAGAGCAGTGACCTTCCGGGGTTGACTGGGGACACTGCTTCTGGAGAAAGTAAAACGAGAGTTTGTTGATGTCTTTTATGCGTGTTATCTGCCGACCTGGGTTCCTCCTCACCATCTGGCCTCCGCTGTCTTCTCAGGACAGCGCACCCGCAGGCCCCCCCCCCCCCCCCCCACGCGGCCGCAAAGGCAGCGGCGCAGGACAGAAAGCCTTTTCCATCGTATCAGAGCAGAGACAGGCCCCGACTGCCTGCCAGCTCCGTGCCCAGAGCCGCATCCTCCGCCTTTCGTATCCTTGCAGTTTCAGGCCACTTTGCAAATTCCAGGTCCAAGTGTCTTCGATCCCATCTCGGGAGCCTGAGCCGACCTGGTCCCTCCGACGGGAAC